TTCGCCAAATTGGTCCTGGAATGGTTCAGCAGATGCAGTCTACCTGTAATGAATGCAGTGGGGAAGGTAAGGGAATGGTGAGACTGAGGATATGCCTTAGGTACTTTGATTTGTTGTAAGAATGTGCAAAATGATGAAGAACCATGGGCTAAATTAAAAGTCTGACAGCCTTGTTTGACGAAATTTCCATGCTGCCTTCCTGCTGATTGCACACAGATCACCCTCAACACCACACAAGACCAGGGAAAAATTGGATGGCGGTAATTTATGATGACCTTGAATGAGTAGATGGAATGCTCATTCCCATATGGAGAGCCAGTTAATTGTGAATTATTTGATAAATTTGAATTCATTCCTTAATCAAATGCACTTTGCTATTCAAGTTGATTGTGTGACTAGGATTTAGTAAGAGAAATGAAATGCATTCATGTAGATGATATGTGATGTTTTGATTACTTCTGTACAAACTTTGTACCTGTTGCTCTATTAATAACTTTTCAGGTGAAGTACTCAATCCAAAGGACAGGTGTAAAAAATGCCAGGGGAAAAAAGTTGTTAAAGAAAGCAAGATATTAGAGGTAAAGTACTGAGTTATGGTTCACCACTTACTAGAAAAAAATAATTGGATGGGCAAAAGTTGTAAATGGTGAATCGAAAAACTGTGATCATTTGTTGGAGATGCTATTCTAATTACAGAATGAAATGTAAAGGGAATGGTGATATTCATTTGTATGAGCATGGAACAAAGAAAAAACTGACACCCTCCAAAGTATTCAAGAATTACATGCGAGACTCTCTATTTTGCTGCTAGGTGCGCTACCTTTGAGTTTTAGAGAAGTCTTTGGATTGCAAAATTGTATACTTGTTTCATATGTGACATGCTAGTGAAAAATGAATGATATTTTTAATTATCTACAACTGGAGTATACAAAAAAACCTGAAAATTATCATGTTAATTATCTTTGTACTTAGAATGGACCATTGTTAAAGTGAACCTTGTATCTCAAAAGTTTTCTTGGTTTCTTGCAGGTTCATGTAGACAGGGGTATGAATGACAGTCAAAAAATAACATTTAGAGGAGAGGGAGACCAGGAGGTGAGCATTAAGGGTATGATGATTGCTGAATTGATGTTTACCAATCAAGCAAATCTAATCCTTTTATCATCTGTTTTTTTTTAATGTACAAAGGTTCAAGAGAACGTTAAAATAAACATGATGGTAGTCTAAACTAACACATATTAGCCGTATTAACACATTATTAGCCATCCAAATTTAAGCCAGTACTAAGAACTTGGCAAACATAAAAAATTAAGCACTTATCACATAACCTCGAGAGGTGTACTCAAATGGTATCTATTCTGGCTATGCATCAGTGCAAACTGATGTCTCAAATCATGTGTGACAATGTGTTCAATTCAGGAGGGATTTCTTGATGCATCAGAATCAAAAACACTTGATTACACTCTAGTGGTGTGTACTACATTTTCCTTTGTCTGCTCCAGCTGTTGTTTTTGAAGCTTATCAAATTGAATCAAAAGCTGAAGCTAAGAAAAAAGAAGTACATTATATTTTTACTAAATGTTTCATTTGTGGCAGTCACCAATCAAGTCAGATCTGTACATTTGTTATTTAGATCAGAGCTACTTATTCTTATTATGGCTTTGATATGTCTGTGGTATCTTGCATGCATCATTGAAAGAAAATGTGAATGGGATTTTTTGTCTGCCTTTTAGTGTTGGACAGGATTTGTACTTATTTAAAGGTTTTTCCTTCACACAGCCTGGTGTTGAACCCGGTGATGTTATTCTGGTACTACAACAGAAAGATCATGAATTGTTTACACGTCAGGGTGATGATTTGTTTATGACCAAGAAAATTCATCTGGCAGAAGCTCTGTGTGGCTTCCATATGGTGATCAAACACTTGGATAAAAGAAATTTAGTTGTAAAATACCCTGCTGGACAGGTTATTGAACCAGGTTAGATTTGAAACTGTATGTCTATCCATTTGTGCTGCTGTCTTTCCATTCATCAACTGTCATTGTTGAGTTTTAATGGTGGCTGTATTGAATACTTTTCCTTTTAGACAAAGAGAATTTATTTACATCAATGTATTTTTCTGTATTGTTGATTCATCATAAAGGATTTTTCAGTAATAAAGCAGCTATTTTTGTTGTATATTTCCATGGCTTAGGTTGCATAAGAGGTGTGGTTGGAGAGGGTATGCCAGCGTACAGAAGACCCTATGACAGGGGAAATCTCTATGTTAAATTTGAAATTGAATTTCCTCCAAACAATTTCATCCCGGGTGACAAAATTTCTGTGAGTACCTATTTTTTGTGTGTTCACCAATTTTCTAAGATTTTCCACTATTCAAGATCTTCTCTTATTTGGTATCAGCATCCTTCATGTTGGAAGAGTCATGATGTAGAAATTCTACCATGAGTGGTATTGCAAGGTTTTCAGTGGAATACATTGGCTGTTATCTCATAGAAAAGTCCTCCAACATATTTCTGTTGGCTCCCATTTGTCACTCTAAACTCATATTTATGTTTAGGTTAATATTGCTCTCAAAGTGAAAAAGCAAAAAATTCACCCAAGGAAATGTCTGTACTTGTTATGATGTGATTTTTATCAAACAGCAATGGTTATTTATCATGCAAGAAGCTATTTAAGTTCTTCAGCATTAACAAATTGTTGAAATAATTTGTTTTGAGTTCATACATTCAACTGTTAGGGGCAAGTGATGGTAATAATTTTGAGCGTGTTATTCTTTCTTTTTCCTCTCCCAATATCAATTTCAGATTAACTTTTGAAATCAAAGTCACTTGCCTAGTTACATGTTGCCACCTTTATTCTGGGAGAAATGTTTGTTTTATGCATTTTTTATTTACCTTTCACAAGCAAACAATACAGGAGGATTGCACATAAAACACTTTTCAATTGTATTTTGGTTAATTATGCAGAAAACATCATATTAAGTTATTCTTGCTTTTCCTCATACCAGTTACTAGAATCATTACTTCCTAGTCGGCCTAAACAACCATCACCAGCTGAGGATGCGGAAGAAGTGGACCTTATGGAACTTGATCCAAGATACAGTCAAAAAAGGAGAGAAGCATATGAGGATGGCAGTGATGATGAAGCAGGCCATGGACCTCGTGTGCAGTGTGCACATCAGTAATTAGAACTCTTTAAGGAACCACTTTGCCTGGCAGCATTTTAAGCCTGTTCCTGTGAGCTATTTGGGCATTTTAGAGTTAAAATAATTTCAATTCCTTTTTGACATAAATTTTCTGAAACTTGTCATATTTGACATCATGTTGTGAAGTAGTTCACTTGTTCAACCAAGACCCTGGCTTCTAGTGTAGTTTTGTTTTGTTATGAGCTAAATGTAAAGTAAGTATCCCATCAACTACAGGCCATGTGTTTGATGGAAGCATTTTGTGCTATTTACTACAACAGTGCCTCCAGACATTTTTTTGATCACCAATGATGGTTTAAAATTGTTCATAGCCAGTATTACATTTCAAGAGGTCTTTATGAACCCCAGAACATTTATTAAATTATATACATGTATCATAAGTCATTTTAAGCAGAGGTAACTATAAAGTGTGATTCTTCCTCTGTTTCACACCATTCTTCCTTTTTAACTAACCTATTCTACAGCAGTGCATCCAGTGTACATAAAATGATTGTCTATTGCAGCAAATTTATTGTATGAATTTTGAATCGGCAATTACTCACAAACTATTCACACCAGAAAAGGTTTCTAGTATTAGCATCAGAAGGAGGCAGAGGACACAAATCTTTCCTTTGTACTCTTTAGAACTTGTGATATAATCATAAATATGAATATTTGTGCTGATTACATGCTGATTTGAAATAACCTCAATTCATTAATTGTTGTCAGTTTGCACATTAATTGAAGGGAGAATGGTGTGATAAAAAGGCACCAAACCTCTTTTGTTGTGAATTTTTTATTGGGTATTAAGAGTTTTCTTTTGAGATATTGAATGGTGGCATGTAGAGATGGCTTTATTAATTTTCAATGGCCAAAAAATATAAAGAGCAATAGTGTTCTTTCCGTCTTCAGGCTATCAATCTTGTAATTTCTGTTTACCATATTGATGTGAGTTGTTTTGTCAAACAACAGCTTTGCATGTAATGTAAGGTCTTTGATGTGGTCACTAGTGAGGATTCGGAGAATGCCTCTGTGCCATTGGATGTATTGTGTTGTGTGGAATTTATTTTTGCTTTGTTTCCATTGTGTACACTTTTATTGAATAAGTGTCTCCATATTGTAGCCACAAAAATCAAATGAAGTAGGTTTTAGAATTTGTGTTTCCAAGTTTGTGTAAGATGGAGCTTCAACCCTACAATTATTCTCACTGGATGGTAAATAAAATTTCATGTTTGAGCAAGAGATCCTTTGAATGGAATGTGTCTTGTTGAGTGATACACAGAATTCCTTTGTGCAAAATTATTCAGAGGATCATGAGAGAATTCAAAACGCAGAAATGACATTTACAGTTCTGCTCCTCTTTTTAAATGATCGGTTGTTGTCTGATACAGCTGAAATGTCTCTATTGTGGATACATTTGTGAGTGGGGGACTGGGTTAGGGTCTGTTGGGTTGCCTCTGACGTAATTAATTGACATACCTTACCCTTTTATGAGATCAGCATCAAATTTTTCAGGAAAATGGTAACAATAGGTAAGGAAGGAAACTATTTGAAATGATGAAGTCGTTTAAGTTAGATTTTGCTTAAAACAAACATTTCTAAAATACTTTCACTTTAATGCCCTATACTAATTTCTGGAAAACTCTTTTGGGTGTGATGCTGGTTCGTAGATGGCAACTAATAGACTAAAAAGTTTGTTTAGAAGATCTCCTTACCTAAGACTTTTTTGTCATGTGGACTTGGAAAATTTTGACAATCAAAGCCTCCATTTGACCTTCGTTTCCTCTCTCCTCTCCGTCATAAGTGAGTCTTTTGAATCTTGAGAACGAGGTTAAACATGGCGGCGGTGGCGGCTCTTAGGGGTTTAAAAGATGTGGCACTTCGTACTATAGACAACTTGGCGTCTGAACTTTATGAGCTGAACCAGAAGATTTGGAAAAAGCCAGAACTTGGTTACCAAGAAAAGTATGCGCATGAAGTGTTAACTAAATTCTTAAGTGATAAGGGATTCGAGGTAACACCCCATCATACTCTGGATACGGCATTCCGAGCAGCCAGTGGTCGATGTACCAGACGAGTTGTAGGGTTTATTTGTGAGTACGATGCTTTACCTGGTATAGGGCATGCTTGTGGTCATAACCTGATCGCCGAGGTTGGGGTAGGTGCCGCACTGGGTAAGTTAAAACCACCGACTTTACATTATGTAACACAATTGTGGGCTGTGCTTCGGAAATGAAGACTTACCTCGAGCCCTTCGACGTTGTTTTCGAAATTACTCTGGACCTTAGAGTTGTCACTGTTGTTGTTGTTTTTTTTCAATGGTTCTAGATATATCTTATCCCCTCAATTTGATTTTAAAGCTTTTAGGCTTCACTGTATCCATCTAAACTAGAGTTTGCATAGTTCCTCTTTCCTCACATAATCCATTGCACAACAGTACATATACGTGAGGGTTATTATATTTATTAATAGTATAGATGAAAAATTAATGCGCGTCTGATTGGTTGAAAGCGAGCACATTTTTTATGTAACACAAATGCAAAGTTATAACAAAATGTAAATTACTACTAGCACATGCGATGCTAAAATTTTGTCCATCTTGACTTTCTATGATGTGCTTTTCATGTAAATTATTAACAAGTAACAGCATGATTTCTTGTACAATTTGGTGTAACTAAGCACTGGTAAATTTTTCAAAGGCTTCAAGTTGCACTTGCCCTACAGGCTTGTGCAATTTTGTTGTCCTTGAAAAATTTACTTCTGCTTAATGATAACACCGAATTTCACTTGAAATCATATTGTTACTGAAGAAATGTAAAATGATTTCTGTGTTTACATAGCCTGATGTAAACATGCGGGAGGTTGGGAGAACACGAGATAAGCGTAGGAAACCACGACGTGAAGCAGAGTGGTTTCCAGCTTATCAAGTGTTCTCCCAACCTCCCAAGTGTTTACATCAGGCTATGTAAACACGGAAACCATTTTACATTTCTTTTATAAAATAACTCATGAAAGAGGAACGAAAACCATGTTTACATACGCTCATGTAAAATGGTTTTATGGCCAATCAGAGTGCGCATACTATTTGAATTATTTCATAATTATACTTATAAGGTTTCAGTAAAATATGAGTTCAGTCTTTAATTCACAGCATTTTTGTTTTCTTTTCTCAACCTCCCAATTATTTTTATGTGAGCAGAGACAAATATCCTGAGAGAGAAAACGAAATGGACGGTCCAAGTTTTGAAGGTTTTCACACTCAGTTAGATTGTAAGCTTATGTACTAATAAAAATCAAACACAGCTATCTTTTGTGTGGTATATATAGTTTTATGTTCAGAAACAAAACAGAGCAAGACAAGAGTGATGTAAAATATAACCAAACTGGCATACTGTAACTGTTAAAATTCATGCAAATCATGAAGGTGTCAGAGCAACTGCAATCATGCTGAGGTCCACTGCAGCACAAGCAAGGCTTCTCTATTTGTTAATTTTTTTTCACTAAGTGTACACACAGTGTATTGCAGCTTGCAAGTAATAACATTTCTGTTCAACTTCAGGTGTGAAGGCAGCACTTGATGCAATTAAGCAAGACCTGGGGAAAGTTGTAGTTCTTGGAACTCCAGCAGAAGAAGGTGGTGGAGGCAAAATTAAAATGATTGAAAATGGTTGCTTTGAGGAAGTAGATTTTTGTTTGATGGCTCATCCTAAATCTTTTAGCTGTATTTATCCAACATGCTTGGCAATGCAAGCTGTTCAGGTCACATATCATGGAGTATCCTCCCATGCAAGCGCTTTCCCTTGGGAGGGTGTTAATGCATTGGATGCTGCTGTCATGGCTTATAATGCTGTCAGTGTTTTGCGGCAGCAGCTCAAACCAACATGGCGTCTACATGGTGTCATCACAGATGGAGGAAATAAGCCAAACATTATTCCTGAAAAGGCTTCATTGGCATATTATGTGAGAACTCCAACTGAGGAAGAATTAATGGTTCTTCGTAGCAAAGCACATAGATGTTTCGAGTCTGCTGCTCAGGCCACTGGTGTGTGAATGATGCATAGTCCTTACTATCTGCTATCTCAGATTAGTCCATACTAAGAAAAACTAGTCTCCTTGCCCTAAGCAGTTGTACCAAATGCAGACCAAGCCAGGCAAATCACATATCTATTTTTACAGCAGTAAACTAATTTGATAATGTGGTTTGGTTAATATTTATTTTATTGAAAGGGTTGAATTGTCTTTAAACTTGTCTCAGTTTGTGCAAACATCTGAAATGAAGAACTCAGATACTTGGTTAAAGCGAAGGGTAAATTTAGGCTCAGTGCCCCACAGCCTAGAAGCCTATCCTCTTTTCAATATTAAGGAAGGGGTATTACTATTTGCCATTCCCTCTCTCCCCATTTGAGTAAATGTATGTGAGTATGTTTGTCCATCAGAGGTTTCTCCCCTTCTTTCTTTCCCCCCCCCCCCCACCCCACTTAGTTTTTCATCAAGTTTTCTGATAGTATATCAGTACTCATTTTCTTAAACCTGGTTGGAGAGAGGCACCATGCAAGTAAAATATTTAGTGCAAAGTACAATGACCTTACCTGGGCTTTAACTTGGACCTCTTGACCAAGTGTGTCTGCTATTACGCAGTGGTGTCTTAATTATGTTTAAATGGAAAGATTTATTTCAGTTACTTAGTCTTAGTGTACTTTTATTGTTTCAATCAAATTTCTTAAAATTTTTGTCCAGAGTTAAATTTTTGCAACACTTTTCGTTATGTTCACGTAACTGTAGGTTGCACTGTGGACATTCATTGGGATTCTATGTTCTATTCCAACTTGGCAACCAATAAACAGCTTGCAGAGCTCTATGGAGCAAATGCACAGGACTTTGGCTTAACATTTCCACCACGTGAAGAACAAGTAAAGGCATCATTTGGTTCCACAGACATGGGAAATGTGTCACATGTTAAACCTTCCATTCACCCATACTTTGACATTGAAACATCTGCTGCAAATCACACTCATGAGTTTACTACAGCATCAGGGAGGACAGAAGCTCATGATAGGGCAGTTATTCAAGCTAAAGTCATGGCCATGACAGCATTAGATGTGCTGTGTGATGATCAGGCCTGGGAAGAAATTGTGGCTGACTTTGAGAAAGTTCATGGAAGGATGAAACCTAGGCTGACATGAGCTGTAATGTCTAAACACACAAGAATCATTAATCTTAAATGTATTAGCTCAGGAAGTGATTGATAGATAAAAACCTCTTCTATCTCAGGTCAGCCCAATTGTAATGCTGCTGTTATGAGGGAGGGAAGAGGTAAAAAGATGAATTTCGAGAGGAATTGAGGAAAATGCGTTTGATATGCAAAAAACGATCGAAACTTTATGATATCATGAAATTTGAACAAAATAAAATATATACTGTGGATCTAGGAACAGAATACAATGCAGGGAAATAGAGATAAATTATTGTGAAAAGGTCGAATCATTACAATCATCATGGGCATTACCAATCTGAGGAATTGCACAACAGCTTTGATAAAGGAAATTGTTAACAATTTTGTCATAAACTTGGCTTACATTTTTCCTTTATGCATCTTTAGGCAAGCTGGAAATGAAGTTTGTTCTGTAGGCCAAGTAGGAAATCTGACAGATTTCTCTGTTATTTATTGTTAGTTTTTTTTAGACCTGACAGTGCACATCGCAGTATTGAAACTATTTAAAACTAATTAACCAATAGAAACTTCCCTTGAAATTATTCAGTCACAGCAAGTAATTAAAAAAAAAAAAACAAACAAAAGGTCATCCACCACAAGGGAGCTCCAGAGATGTTTTATGTTTGATTAATGCCCTTTTTCTTTACTAGTCACCTACGCTCACTGTGATGAAACTAAAGGTGAGACATGCTAGGCAAATATGAATTAGTTAGGAAGCACTAAACATGTATACACTGATGATGCAATGAATAGTTGCACGTTGGTATAAAATACTGCAAAATAAATAACATTGGGCTTTAATGTGGGAAATTTCCTGTGCCAGTTGAACAATGGCCTAAAATGTAAAGTTTTAGTGAAAATAGTGACATAAAGTTAGCAATTGAAACGGAAATTCTGTTTCTTTCCCGTCATTATTATTATTATTGTTATTATTATTATTATTTATCTATAAATCTAGTTAAATTCTTTGAATTAATGAGAAAATATCAATCATTCTTTTGTAATGTATTTAGTGACAAATTCATATAAAAAATTCATTGTGTAATTCATTGTATAAATAGGTACTGGAGGGGATCAGTGGAAACATTAAGAGTTATGTTGTGGAATGTGTAAACGAACGCCTTGTACAGCGAAAGAAACAAAATAAGACTTAGCATTACCTGTTGTAGAGGGAATCTATCAGGAGGGAGCGAAATTATAGAAAAGAAAAATTATGTAGAGTAGAATAATCAACATTACCCACGGTAGAACATATTTTGACGTGATTTGGATCTTTATTGCTGAGAGGAAGCAACTATTAACCTATACCAGAACCATTAATGAGTTGTAGTTATTGAACAATCACTTTTGTACGCATTTCTGGGTGCACCGAGTCGCAAAGATGTTCCGTAAAAGACCAGAAAGATTGCCTTCAAGTTTCCACGCGTTTGTAATTACTTTCTTCCGATTTCCGCAAGGAACCTGGCTAATTAGGTTCGGATCACGCAGTGTTTACGCCTGGAGTGAGCTAAGCAATTCAAATTGTTTTTAATTTTCTAATTTTAAAAGCAGTAAGGGAAGTTAATAAACTTCCCTGCATCCCTCATTGATTCTGATCACGCGCAGTATTAGAAGTCTTGTCAGCAAACATTATGGGACAAAGTCAAGCTGATAATTTCCTTAAGTCTTGTTTTTCTGATATTTTCTATTGAAAGATAAAAAAAGTTTGCAGTTTCTTTAGTTTCTTTTAGTCCTGTTATCATGGGGTTAGGAAAGACATTTTCAAGGAACTTTCTGTTATCATTCGTGTACAGTACCCCCCTCGAAGAAACTTTCCGAATAAAGTTATCAAAGCGACTCTGCATAATAAAGATGTTTTCCATCGCTCTGTATGGTTCATAAGCCCATAAATGTCGTCAGTTACATATGACAATATAGAAAATGATTTTCTGATCTTAGGAAAGTGGCGATTTTATTGCAAGTTGAAAGTGGTTGTTCTACGGGGACGGTAATAATGGTGATTTTTGGAACTATTAAAGTGACACTTCAAGAACGTTAAAAGTGGCAAATTCTCAGGAAGCTTAAAAGGAAACCTTAGGCATAGTGTGTACACATATACTGATGTATGTAAATAACAGTTCCGATCGAGTTGCAAAGAGCGATTCAAAACGCCTTGATTATGAAGGGTGGTTTTGATAACTTTATGAAGGGGACTTTTTCATGGGTGGCTGTGCCCAGTGACTGGTATTGATCCAGACCAGTTCAAATAAGAAATAATGTTTTGTTTCTTCTTCTAAAGGAAACAATAAGGGTGTTCTACTTTAAATAACACGTCATATTACCATCATAAAGAGGCCGGATCAAGTGAGTGGCACATGTGACTTCTACAATTAAAGTTCATTTATTATTAAACAACTGCAAAGGACGAAAGCAGCATATAAATTGTGATTGCAATTTGGTGAAGGCTCAAGTTTATATGTTGACTTTGTAAAACAAGTGGCAGTTTAGTCCAACGAGAAGGCCTGCAGAAGTGAATGAATCAATAATATGCAGCTGAAAGGTGCATTAAAACAGACAAGCAGTCGTGTTTAAAAGACTTGTGCGATATATGCTTCGGTCGCTTAACTTAGCTAATACTTATGTTTTTTCTTCTTTTTGCAGAGTTCTGGGCTTGCTTTGGATTCGTTCTGTTGTTTTCTGCAGATGTGAACTGTTCTGGCTCCAGAAGCGGTCACAGTGCGAGTAACAGTACGACCAACCCTAACCGCTGTCCTCTTTATCAGGTGTCAAAACTTTAACTTTGTCAAATACGTTTTCGTATGTATATTTACATGCAGGTTATAGCGGAGCCTTGTTCGCAATTATCTGCAAGTCAGTTTTTTTGTGTGGAGGTTTTTGTTCGAGAATTCTTTATCGGTATGCATCTTTCTTTGAAGTTCATTTTTTGTTGTGTAATAAACACAGAACATGTTTTGAATTAACATAACCTTAACATTTTGTCAAGCAGTAATGAAGTAATATTTGCACCAGTGGAAGATAAAAGACTCTTCATTAAGGTGTAAAGAATTGAAGAAATATTAGTGTTGAAAGCTGCGTGTAAATTCACACTACTCTTAGCAAATCTTCCGGACGTTTTGAACAGGAAATGCTATAAACTATAGTTACTTTTTGCCAGCTAATCATAATAAATATTGAAATTTTTAAAATCGTGATATTACTGATATATCTGTCCATGAACGTATCATTAGTTTTCCTTTAGAGTCTGACTTTGAATCTTGTTCAAAAATTATTTCAGTGAATTTTTGAAAACACGGAATTTTTTATAAACTTTTCCCGGTTTGTTTGTGGTTTTTTTAGTTATTTATCCTAATTTGTGTTTGCGATGATATGCTTATCTATTAAAATGTTGCGTTTTCAAGTCAAATATTTGAGAAAGTTTTAATTTTCCTGCATAGATGTAAGATCTATTGTATAGAAAGAACTTTCATTTTTTTCAGTTTTCCTTCAGCATTTTTCAGATGTCCTTTCAAATCATTTTTCATTTCTAGTTTTAAAACTTATTTCGAAGATTTCGCTTACGGGTAAGGAGTATCGATGTAATAGTTGGTTCATCTCGAAAATCATTTGGTGTGTTTTGCCTCATCACTGTATTTCGACGCCCTTTCGCGTATGCGAGCAACCGCCATCTTTTACCTTTGTCCGTGGCCTCTGTTATCGTTGATCGGTGTGTTGACTCAGGTTATGTATTGCTTAATCCCTGACGTGCATGAATTATTATGCAAACGTTGTGGTATGCCACAAATAAACGATCTTTTAAGATTAATCTTCAAAACTTTACTGTTTATTTGAATTATTGTACCATATTCCCAAATTATTACGTTGAAGGAGCTTAACTTAACTCTGGGCTTTCACAAGAAAACTGGAAAGAGTTAAGAATTGGTTTTTCTTTCAATGACTCTTTTTCTCGTCAGGGTTTTAAGTCTAACAAATCCGGAAATGTCAAACGTTGTTTAATTGTTCCTTGGTTATGCTTCATATTTCACAATTCTCAGCTTAAGCGGATTTGTGTAGCAGGTGTTGATAATAAGTTTATTTTGGTCTATAGCTGAGGGAAAAATTCAGTGCAGAGGAAACTGTAGAAAATGTGGGCCAACCCTTACAAAATTGTGTGTACAACTCCACACAGATTTACTTCCCTGTCAAATTGTGAAAAAACTACATAGAAATGAAGATTTGAAATTCTTCTCGGAATCGTTTTCGTTGCCCCTGTCAAAAATTCGTGTAAAGTAACCAAAGTTTCGTCAGGCGTCGCGTAAATGGCGTGCATTTCCCCAAAACATGATAGAGTAGGTAAGAGACAGTGGCAATAATAATGGAAAAAAAACTATCTTTCATCGTCGTGCATTAACCTTCACTGTTGACAGATACCTTTATCGTTGTCGGATACATGAATTGCTAACAGATAAATTATTGAGAACTGCCCCAAAAATATTTATTTGTTTCCAAGGTCTGTTTCCCTGCCGGGCCTTTATTGAATAACTGAAAATTATCATTAAGGTAGCAAAGTTGCTAGCAAAGTTGAAACTTTTCAAAGCTTGCATGAAATTAAATTTCATAGTTGACTGGCAAACATCCTTTCAGTTCATTTGATTTTGGAGCTTTTACCTTTTTCCAGCGTAAAATTGAATAGCTTTAAGTATCTATTAAGGACAAATTATACATTTCAATATTTGGAGCTCAAATACTGATCTTGTGGAGTGATTTCCGCTTTGTTCGCAAACTTAGAATTTACTCCGTAGTCCCTCAATGTTGTTGATCCTGAAAGAGCTAAGTTTTGTCAACACGAAAGGCAAAGTCGCGTCGAAAGGGAAATTGTAGATTTGCATTGAGATTACCAGCTGTTAACGGGTCGTTGAAACAAAACCTCTAAATAAGATTACCGCGAACGGACGATGAATTCCAGCCAAAGATGAAAGAACTAATCAGAGCTTACGCCTACTAAAGAGAAAACTGATTACAATTACATTTGTTTCAACTTCTTGGTCAGTTGAAAGGCTCCCGTGTAGTGTGACGCTAATTCACACCTTAACTACGTAAACCTTCAACTGAATTGAAAATAGGCTGGCCTAGCACGTGACTCGTCATCAGTGATTTCCTTTTTCTTCAGGTTTTTTGTGAACCTACGAGTCAATGTGTCAATCGCTTGGGGTTCACTTGTGGAAACAACTCGTGCGCAAGTAACGAAAAACTCTGTGGTCCACCCCAGGAAATGAATTGTGAACCTGAAAATCAGCAATGTCATCGTCTGGGTGGTCCTAAGGATTTCAGAGGACATAATTCCAGTCTCAAGCGAAATAACAGCATCCCCTCCAAATTGAATGAAAGTCTCCCTATGAGTAAAATTGATCGTAACGTCTCCCAAGTTAACGTTCAACACCGCCGTCGTTCGCAAGACGATGCAAACCCGTTCTCAGCTGGGAGGGCTCGAGATGGTCAGCATGACTTTCAGCGAAATGAGACAAGTAATATGTTGAATGATACAAGGTTGAGGAGAATTTTGGGTCGGTCTTTCAACCCTTCTATGATTGATGAGATAATTGGGCAAGGGCGTCGTTCTAACCGAACACATGATAAAAAAGATGTCAAGAATCAAGAGGCATGCGACAGACGATATTCCCACTGCATTAAATCCACCTTGGCGAATTTGATGTTGTTCAAAGATCTGGATGGGGAATGCTGCAGGATGACTCAGGAACCTCTTCAGTTCGTCAAAAGTTTACACAATATCAGTCGGAAGTTTATTGATTGTCCTCCTGGAAAGAAGTTTTCTCCTCTGAGTTTTGTTTTCAAGGATAATGGTGGATGCATTCCGATGAATCGCTCAGATGACAATGTTCCCGAAGAACACCGGTGGACTTCAAAAAACAGATCTGAAAAAGAACATAGTTTTTGTGAAATCGTCAAGAAAAACGTTAATGACAAAAAACCGCTTTCTTCTCGTCGTCTTGTGCGTTGGTTGGTGGAGAAATACAACGTTTCCCGTTCGGTGAAACACTGTCCAATAGGAAAGACGTTTTGTCCTTCGTCCTTCGACTGTAGAACAAAAGAACGCGGGTGTCACGCTGAGAAGCTGAAAAAGTGGGCGTCAAAGAACCTTTGCAATTCCTCAGAACATCTCTGTCTCGGCTGTGGAGCTGGATGCCGCTTGAAGAAAAACGAATGTCCAAAAGAAGCAAACATG